CCACTCCCAAATTCCTAATAAATTTTAGCCGTTGTTGGTCCTTCTCCCGTTGTTTTTCAGCTGTGAGACCTGTTGGAAGCTTAAGGTTGTTGTCAGGATAGCACTTAATGCATCCATGCCAGCAGCAACCGTTGACTTCAATAGCCAATTTCTTTTCCTCAACCCATCCATCTAACTTATATTTACCCATCTTTTTCTCTCCATTTTTCGAGTGGGCATTCCTCACTTCTACATTATTTTTCTCAGCATACCATTTGAGGAACTTGAGGGCAAGTTTACTTTGATTGTCCGCGTTGTCGTACCCTCTTTCCGGGACAATCCCAACATGATTTACCTTGAGGTGATTCATGCGGAAATGCTTCATGCAGGCTGAAGCTATAGTCATGGACTCCCGCAAAACATCAAGTCCATTGGAAACCTCCAAAAATTCTTTTCTGAAGGCAATGAGTGCAGCCATTAAAATATCGACATCATTTGTACAATAGGCTGCTAGTTGTTCGACCAAATTGAAAGGTTCGTTTTTATGTTGGTCGAACCATTTATCGAACTGTGCCCTTTTTTCAGGCATCATCCCATTAGCAAGGTAATCTTCCTTTGTTGGGTATATTTCTTTCCCATAATTGCTCGGATTGTTGGCCAGATGAGGAAAGAAAGGTTTATCTTCCACTTTAAGGTCAAAAGCAGGTACAAGAGAAGCCAAGGGCATAGGCATTAAATTGTATGTATCGTGAAAGATGACCCAACATTTCTTATCATTCTTCACCTTCATTTCATACATTTTGTTGCCATTCTTGATCATATCTGGAGTTAGTCCCTGGAGATATAATGCTTTGAAGACCAAAACCATATCAAACCTTCCTCCAAAATGAGAGAAGGCTACCGTATCAGTAGAAAAATCGGTGATCCAGGCTACAAAATCGGTTAGAGGATCATTTGTAATATTTTGTTGATCCACTGATGTATTAGAGAAAGGTCGATGGGAGAAGGTTATAGTTCGGCTCTCTCCGCAAACAGTGCAATCGTTGATTACCTTACTAATACATTCGGGGCAGTTGATTTTTGCAGAGATAAAATTGACTTCGTGTAGCATTCCCTTTTCACCTTGCTTGTGTTGCATGGTTTCAATGTCAAAGGCGATGATCCGGTACGGTTTGGGCTTCCTGGGAGTTAGAGGTTTAATGTAACAACCTCTTTTTGGGTCGTGGAAACTAAAACATGTGTTGCAATACCGTTCTGAACACACATGACCATTTCTCCCATTCTTGTTGTTGTCCTTCACGTACCATATCACTCCACATTTCTCACATTTCTTAGAGTTGTGGCAAAAGTTAGATTTCAGGTGATGATTGTAACAGTCTTCATTATTAAATTCCTTATAACAACCATTGCACCGTTTTGAGTAGTTATCTAAAGGCTGACATGGGAAATTAGGTCCAATCCTGGAGCAATTTTGACATTTTGATGTGCAGGTGATAGAATGATCTTTTGGGCGGTTGTAAATTATCTCACATGATAAGCAATAAGGTTTACCAAATAAATCGCTTGCCCTTCTAACTCCATCAAAATGATTATTGTTAAAATAAAGAAGAATTGGAGTAGTGTAATTTTCATCCCCATATTTAAAAATAGGTTTTTCATCTAATTCTCCAAAAATAAAAACTTTAAACAGGCCTTCGTTAATTGAATTCCAATAATCAACCACTTTGGGAACCCAGTTCTGTGCATCATAGCTTGGTTGATCAAGAGGAGCTCTTACATTTGCCATAAGATTTTTGGCATCTCCCTCTAGTCGGTGAATCCCTTTTCTGTTGTGTATATAGTCATAGAATTTTTGTTTTGTCCAAGAACATATCGAATAGACATATGAAGCCATCAATGCGTAGAATAGGCAAAAGTTGTCGGTATTGCGTATTTTGATCAAGGCTTTATCATTTATCCGACGAGTAGATTTACCACCACTACCATTAATCGAACGTGTTGTAGGTAGATGCTTTTTATCAATGGTGGTAACTGAGACTGTAAAGGGTTCCCCCCAAAGCATACCATTATCTTGTTTCTTCGATTGCGCCACCTTTAGGAATTGATTAAGTATGGCGTCGATAGTGTTGTTGCTGATTTCCCTGATGGGGATCCAAATATCTGTTTCTAATAATTGACTGCTGACAATACACCCGAGTTGATCGGGTTCAAGATGATGTTCACGACTTGTAGATATTGTTTTATCGATACATGACTGGAATATTTCCTGGAGTAGGCTTTCGGGGTTTGTAGGTAATTTATTAATTAGGAATTTCGTAGTCAGCTTGGTCATGTTAAATTTGCGGGTGATCTTGGTTTCTTCACCCAAATGTTTTACATAATCACCAGCACCTTTTTGTAATAGATTATCAATGAAGAAATGTCGTGCTTTCTTCGAAGGTGGAGGAGACATTAATAATAAAATAAATTAAAAATTAGAGACTAATTCAAAAGTATTAAATTTCTTAAAATTTTCAAGAATGAAGAAAGAAATCGAAAATCCTTTACTTTTAAGGATCCATAAAATATTTGATGTGTTGTAAAATCACTGAAATTCCATTTCATTATTTTCCAGTCGGGGAGGAAGTTAAATTTGCATAGAGGAAATGCAAAAGAAGAGGATTTCGTAATACTTTTAAACTTTATTTCGGATCCTTTTATTTTCAGCTTTGAATCTCTTGGGAATTAAAGAGGGAATTTTTAGAAAAGGAAAGAGATATTTATGAAATTTGCATAAAAGAATTTTTATGCATCTATACCAATTTTTAAGTTCCTTCTTTACAATCCTATACTCTATTTGAAGTAAGGAAGGCTGTCACGAAGGGTAACTAAAAGAAAATTTGCATAAAGTAAGAATTTCAAGATTTAGAGGGAAATATTAGTAAATAAAAAGAAGGGAATTTAAAAATATATATTAAGATTAGGTTAATTGCTGAGACGACGAGTAATTGTTGAATTTGTTTTTTAAATTTATTTATTTTAATTTATTTACCATGATTTATTTTTATTTTCTATTAAAGTATTTTTTCTTTTATTTTGGGTTATTAATAGAGTGAGGGTAATTGTTTGATTATACATACTTTTTATTTCCATTTATTTTTTATTTCTATTACTTTTTAATTTTTCCTCTCATTTTCCTTTTTCTCATTTTTCCTTCCTATTACAGTATTTTTTAATTTACACCCGTTTTTTATTTTCGGGAGGCAAAAGCTTTAATTTTTACAAAGGGAAAATATTGCGTAATTTTTTCGGCCGAGGGAAAAAAGAGAGCGTGGAGCATTTGCATAATTTGGTGGATATCAAAATGTTTAGGTGGGCTAAACAAAAGAAAAGCCCTATTGGTTTTGGCTAGTGAGGTGGGTGGAGGAAGGAGAAAGAAGGAAAAGCTTCAAAAGCTTTTGGTTTGTGGGGTGAGTAAGGGAAGCAAAAAAAAGCTTCAATAGCTTTTGGTTAGTGGGTGGGTGGGTGGGGGAGGGAAGCTTCAATAGCTTTTGTTTTGGAGGGATAACAAAAGAGAGAGGAAAAGCCTCAAAGGCTTTTGGTTAGTAGGGTGGGTGGGGAAGGAAAAGGAAATACCCTCACACCTTTTGATTGATTAACTAGAGTGATTTTTGACAGGCGACTCGGAGGGGGGGTTAACTACTTACCTAATTTAAAACATTTTTTAATTTCTAAGATGGGCCAAAATTTGGGAATAAACGTTAAATAAAGAAATGAGAAGCTTTTTACTTCCGCTAGTCCATTTATCTAATCTCCTTTCTATTATTTACCAGCTGGCTGTTCCTTTCACTCTAACAAAACACACATAAAACGGAAAGTGTATCCAGCTTGTTTTTACGTCAATTCTTTCTATATGCTAGGCAAAATCCATCAATAAAGACATTTTAAAACAACTATATTTTAAACGTTTTTGTTTTAAATCAAGTTTCAATTTTTTTAAATAATATTTTTGACATAATTTTAAGCATTTTTCACTGATTGTATAATCGAAGTAACACCTAAAATTCAACCTTTTGCCTCAATAAAACCCGATAATTTTTTCTCTCATACGGCTTAAAGGCTAAATCTAAAAACATTTAATCTAGAGTTGAGCACGAATGGATCCCTTACATGATTTTACGGGAGCCTGTCCCGTTGACGCGATTCATTGGATTAATCTACGGGATCTCTTTCGTTTCAAAATTCAATCCTGTTGCGGTCTTGGGGATGCGATTTTATCGGCCTCTTCAATATTAACGACTATTTTACAAAATTAGAAAGTCCTCAGCTTCTTGTACAATTAAGAGGACAATATACATAGGTGCATTTGTTTTTGTACCTAAAGCTTATTTAAAAAATTAAAACATTTTAAATTAGGTAAATGAGTGCAGTCAATTTATTTAATTGAGTAAATTATTTAATTTGTAGCTAAAATTAAAATTGCTTTTAAAAAAATTAAATGTCCATCAATTAAATTTATTCAAAAAAATTTTTTGTATATAAATTAATCCTCCAAACGAGCTTCTTAAGGCATAATGTAAATTACTTAAAAAATAAAATTGGAAATATCAGAATAGCATCTAAATATTATTATAACTACAATGTCCTCTAATTTAAATAAAGATGGATTAAAGTATGTATTTGGTTTTCATTTGTTTTGGTTATAGTTTATGGATATCACTTCTCGTTACAAGTTTCTATTATTTATGAGATTAGAAGGCTAGCAAGCATAAGGAGGTTCTTAAGTGGAGGAGGTTCTTAAGTGGTTCATAATGGGAGATGGTTACTATGGAGGGTTTTTGTGAGATGCGATATCCACTTTTTTATTAGGATTGTCATACTGGTCCGACTCTGACCGAGTCAGCTTCGAATAGGTAGGCATAAGAGGGTTATTTCACTAGATTGGAGTAGGGTATCAAATAGCTCGACTCCTACGAAGGATCTCTAATAGAACATCACTTATATGTCGAAAAATTTCGAATTCACTTTAAATATTTCGATATATGGTTATATTATTCAATAAATTTTGTAGTTTCAAGCGTTGGATACTTATAACTGGTTCAACAGACGGGTTTGGCCGCCAATTAGCACAAGAATTGGCAGCCAATATTTATGAAAATTTTGTTATTATTCATGGGAGAAGTGAAAAGAATTGTCAAAAAACTGTTGAGGAATTGGGAATGGAACATGAAAATGTTGGGAATAATAGGAAACAAAGGAATGTTGATTTTGTAGCTGCTGATTTTTCGAAATTATCTGAGGTAATATATTAGACCAGGGATCGAAGATTGTCCTTAAGATGAAGTAAAGTGGTGGGTTAGGCATCTCCTCATACCACGTGTCCAACTTAAAAGTAGTTAGTTGGCCAAACTATCTATATTTTAGTATGTTAGTTATTATATACTAAAATATAGATTAATTAGTTTAATACACTAAATATTAAGCTTCTCTGTTAATTTGAAAATTCTTTAATAAATTTAAGGTTTTAAAAATGTCAGAAGTTGTTCGGTTAAGATTCCCTCGTCTAAATACATTAATTGCTTGTGCATCTGTTGTTGTTCAGCGAAAAATAAAATCTCATGATGGGCTTGAGCTTACTTTACAAGTAAAGCTTATGTACTATTTACCGAAGCCATATAAAATTCAAAAATTTTTCTCAAAAATTTTCCAACCTTATGTAATAAATTGTTAATAATTTTGTCGGGTTCGGGGTTTTCAGGCCTTGAAAAAATCGCCCTGGGATTGGTTTTAGATAAAGGAAGAAGAGAACCAAGCTGATGAAAGCAAGGCTTCACCTTTATTTTAATAGAAAAAGAGTTGACGCTTTCGCACCTGTACTTGATGAGCAAAAGCAAAATCTCATGATAATAACTGCCAGGAGGCCTTCTTAGGACTGTTTTACCTCTCTCTCACTTTAAATTATAATAATTTTTTAAGATCAACCACCTTTCTACATTGTTTTGTTCACTGAATTACTTCCCCTGCTTGAGCTAAATTCTCCATCAAGGATTTTGACTGTTGGTTCTATGTTACATAATTTGTAAGGGTTTTTTCTCGATTTTTATGGAATTATATGTTATTTTTCAATTTATTTTAGTAGTAGTTCAATAAATTGGAATGATATTAACTCTGAAGGATGTAAATATGATAAATTTGCACAATATTCCCTTACTAAATTAATGAATCATTTAGCTACTTTGTACATGCACAGATTAATGTTTAAACATAAAAAACAATTCCAAGTTACTGCAAATGTTGTGGATGCAGAAAAGAGGGTTGAGAAGGAGGGACGAACGATGTAAATTTAACTAACTTGTTTCTGACCCAGATTCAGGGCTATCCGGCCTTGAAATCCCCGTCCCAACCCGGGTTCACATTGTAAGACTCCCAATTAAAAGCTGTCTCAAATGCCAGGAACCCAAACCGAGGACATTGGTGTAAGGGAGGGAATACTTAAGGGTTGATTAGGCCAAGTTATTTATTAATACATTATTCAAAACATATAAACTTAACAACTAATATGAATCTATAAAGCGATTAAAAAAATCTAAATGTATATCAAAGGAGAGGGATTGAAGATAATATGAATATGACGAATATAAACTAGAGCTTTGAACTCGGAGTGTCTTAAGAGACTTAAGATCTCGAAAAATCTTGATCTAGATAATAGAGATTTTTTTATCGAGATTTCGTCTCGATCCTGCCTCAAATATAAACTATAAGAGACAAACTGCAGCTTATTTCTGGTTAGGATTTGAATTAAAAAATTTCTTTTAAAATTTACAGCAAATTTTTAAGTTTGCCCCAATATTCAAACCGTGCACAATTCTATAGTCCTTTATTTCCTGCATCATCAGAGCCATATTTATACGAACATGTAAATGCTTTAGAAACACTTGTTAGATTAACTGAGGATAAAGAATTTGAAGGGATTAGTGGAAAATATTTTGACGCTAATGGTAAAGAATTAAAACTGGGTGCTTCCGTTTGTGATGTAAGGGTACAAGTAAGTATTATTAAGCAAACAAATAAAATAAATTATAAAAGTTGATTTTTAAATTTTATGGCACGTTTAGTTTAAGATGGAGATTATTATTAAAATAATTATTAAAATCTAAATATGTATGTAATTTTGTAGGATAGTCTTGATTCAAAACTTTTCCTCGAGTTTTCGATCTTGAATCTTCGAGTCGTCTTAATTTTGGAGTCAAGTCTGGGTCTTGAGTCTTGGAAAATTTTTGTTTTTGGACGGTTCTTAAATATGTTAACATGGATCAAGCGACCCCATTCACAGAAAAACAGTTGAGGGTTTTGTCGGTGGGCCCCTGATTAGTGAATGGTGAAATTAAAGAAGAAATTTCGGCCAAATGCCTGATGCTTTAATTAATTTAACAAATTCTATTATTAAAAAACATTGCCAATTTAATCATTAAAATTTTAAATTAAGGACCAAATTTGGAGTGAATCTGTAGGTATTTGTGAAAAAATACTTGGAATAACCCGACGCACTTGATTATTTATAATTTATTTGGAATCAAAACAATTTTAATAAAAAAAAATTTCTAGATCTCTTTATCTAAAAATAATTATTTTTCTATGTAAATTTGATTATTATTATTTTAATGCAATAGATATATTTACCGTTAATATTTCGATGCTATATTAAAGGGCATCGATTTGGCCATATTTAATATATTGATAATTTGGAAATCTTTATTTCAAATATGCAATTTAATTTTTTATTGATAAAAATAGTTAAATCCCTTATTTTTTTTATTTTTCAAAATATTAATTCATTTATTTGTCTCTTCATTCAATTTTCTCATTAATAAATTTAATTATTTGGCACAGCACATCTTCTGTCCATCCCCACCAGTTTTTCCACAAGTAGAGCAACAACATTTGGAACATTTACAATTTATGCAGTCATCTAATTAATAAATATAATTTGCAAAAAAATAATAAGGTTCTTGTATAGGGGGAGACATGTCCTATAATAGAGTTATAAATAATTTTGTATTTTCAAGACCATTATAACAATCAGCGCCACTCTTACAGCAAATTTTCTGTCTACAACAATCTTTAAAAAAATATTTTTTTAATTTAATAGTTAATAAACTAAACTGCATTGACACACCATTCTTATTTTTTAAGTTAAAAAATTTAGTTTCAGTATTAAATAATTAATTAATCAGGGCTCTTATAAAAAAAGGTTAAGTTAAAATAAAAAAAATTGAATTTATACATAAGTATACAATAGAAAAGATTTTCAAATAGAAGTAAGCTACAAAAATAAAATTTAAATTTTTATTCACGTTCATACTCTTATATTTTTTAGCGTCGTAAGTGAAAATTTTGAGAATTTTAAGGGTAAATTTAAACTCTAATTAAAATTTTTGAAAAAGGAGCTGGACAAATAATTTTGTGGAGTAGTATTTTTTATTTTTATGAAAATAATTTTAGTAAAATGGACAAATTAATTTAGAATTACACGTCTTTTATACTAATTTATTGTTAAAAATGATATAATTTTGATTCACCTTGGATACAAAAATGAAAAAGATTTTTATTTTCAATCACGTCATAATTACATTAAAGAATGGTAATAAATAATATTTTAAATAATAAATATATTAGAATTACTTAATAGCAAAGATTAAAAACTATTAAATATTCACGTGAAATTAAATAAATTTATTCTATTTTTGGTCATTCGTTTATTTTGTGCAAAAACATTAATAATAAAATAAAAATAATGAATGACGTGATGGAAATAAACAAATTTTATTTTTCTGATAATCACAAGTTGAAAATAAAAATAAAGTTTTTAACGAATATTTTAATAAATGAAATAATTTTGTCTAAAAAATAAATTTAAATAAGCTAACCCGTAATTATCTAGTTTATTGTCACATTGTGCGTTTAAAATATAGTAGCATGAGGTCGAGGCATCGCCGAGTATCGATGCTAATATACACCCCCTAAATATTGAATTTATGAATTTACCGACTCTGCCACCCTTGAATTAAAAAATCCCTTGGTGACCAACAATTTCCAGTTAACCAGCCATCTAATAATATTAAATAATTATTCTTATTCGTAAATATGCATTTATATTGAGCATATTTTGAGTTTGGATACTTGGGGTAAAAGAATCGAATTTGAGTTTGAATCTGGACGCAGGCTTTTGGAAGGTTTTTTGGAAAGAGGTCTCTTTCCCAATATTGCCTAAAATCAGTCAGTAGAAGCACCTTTCCTGTACTATTTAATTTTGTTTCAGAGATTGAATTAGTAAATACATTTCTAGCTCCAAGTATATATTTGGCACACAAAGTAAAAGATAATAGAGTATCAAAATTGAGAGAAACATTCCAGAGATGTGAACAAACCCGTCTTTTTTCAGAACAATTTCCATTAGAATTATCACAAAACAAATCGAGAAATACTGACTTAAACAATATTTTTTTAATTGAGTTTAAGAAACTAGAATTAAGGTAAATTTGATAAAAATAAGTGAGATAGAGCTTCAACCCACAATGAAATAGAGCCCAACTGAAGGTGTAATTGAAAAATAGCTCGAGAACTTTTATGGTAATTTCATGATAACTTGTGCTTGGGTATCCGTATTAGACTGATATTGCTCGGGTATCAGTGTCTAAAGATAGATTCCCTACTTCGGGGAATGGAATTCCCCGACGAACGGTCGAGGTCTCGCCTGAGCCTCGGTTCTCCCTCCGGGCAGTTCTACGTAAAATGATCCATGCCCCAATATCGAACCATAGTTAAGTTAAACTACTGTAAATAAATTTTATACACAGTAGGTAATGAAGCTCTTTTATTTAATAAATTTTTCTCGAAAAAATTTAAATTAATGAACATACATGTATTGCCCCATTATCTGTTCCATGAAAGCTTTTTGGCACTTTAAAATAATAATCAGCCCAAAAATAAAGGAATTCTCTAGTAAATTGAGTATTTTTTAAAATATAACTTCCAGCCATAATTTCCCCATTAAATATCCTTTCATAAAAAATTAGATCAAAATCTTTTTTTCCTTCCAAAAATTCCTCAAGTGAATGATTTGGATTAATGACACCTATATCTGCATCCATAAAAAAGACAAATTTAATATCTGTTGAATGAGAAGAAAGAAAGTTGGCAAGAATGCAATGACGTTGGAAATAAAACTGAAAATTTAAAGAAATTAGGCAACAGGGATCTTGCTGAACCGATTCCCGAAATCGGAAATTTTGTTTTTTTTGTCGGCAGAATCTCTGTTAAGCACTGATATGCATGAGTAATTATCCTCTATTAAATAATTACCCCCTCCTATTTGAGCTTATTAGGTAATTGTTGTGAATGGTAGGAAATTTTTTAGAAATAATTTGGAGTAATGTTAGTCTTAAAATTTGAATACTGTTGAAGAGTGGGGTTCAAAACTGTTATCAATCTGAGATTTTTTCGTTTTTTTCCCGTTATTTACTTACATCTTTTTGTTTACAATTATCATTCTTCTTTTCCATTCCATAAGCATTAATAACTTCAAGGGGATATCCATTTAATTGACAATAACGTCTTAATGTGCTTTGTGCAAGGTTGTAATTTGACAAAATTTTGGCATTATCGACAATAACAATTACCCAAATCTTTTCGAAATGGCCTAAAATTGAAAAATATTTGTATTTTAAACTGAAGGAAATAGACAAATTTTTCAGATCGTTTAAAGTTTAACACTTTAAACTAAAATAAATTAATTTTAGTTAGATAATTCTTTTTCGATATGTGATAAATACAATGACAAGCATTGTTTTATTCAATCACTAAACATTCATTAATTCTTGAATCATTTTGTAGTTTACAACTTGAGTTCATATCTACTATATACATATCAAACGTATATTTGATACGAATATAGATTATGGTTACTTTTGCTGTCTTTAACATTAACTTTTAGAAGTCAAGATCCACAGCCAAAAAAGGTCATAATATTTCAAAAAATATTTCACAAAATTTTTCGCCTCGTCCAAACAAACGATGGGCATTTCGAGAAGCTTGTTTTTATTCGTTTCTTACTTTATTCTCTATCATCTAAGCTTTATTTAATCTCATTATCTTTAATTTGAATAAAGTTATGCCATAAATAATGTGTCCGGTTACTTTTGGGTCACCAGTTACTACAGTCGGATATACCAGAAAATAACCCGGAAATTGTTGTTAAATAGATTTATTTCCCTCACTTTGTTTGTGTCTAATATTAATCTTTCTGTAAACAGTCTTTGTATAATAATTTCATATAAATTAACAACATATCCAACATTCGATTCTTCATAATAAATTAATAAAATAATAAAAAGGAAAGAAAAAATGAATAAAATAAATAATTTTGGTACTTTTTTAATTAAAAGTTGAGGTCTTTTAATTAAATAAAATAAGAACATAAAATATAATTGTTGATTAATTAATTAATTTTTTTAATTAAATAAAAATTTCTCCTTCATTTTCTCATTCAACATCTCATAAACAAATATTTATTTAAAAAATAAAGAAATATTTATTTTAAAAGGAAAAAATTATCAATTAATTTTTATTGATTAATAAATTATTGATAGAAAACCATCAATCAAATCAATTATCAAATGAAAAAATAAATATTACAGTTTTAAAAATGAGAAAATAATCAGGATTCAACATACAGTAATTACATATTAAGATTAGTAATTTAATAAAGCCTATGTTAAATTAAGGATGATTCACTTAGAGCATTTAAAACACTTAGGCGGGGGTTAAACGATCTGGAAGGATAAAAGAGAAAGCATTTTATCTCAGCATTTAGCTCAATTTTTAGCTCAAGAGAAAGCATTTAGCTCAATAGTTTGTATTTTGGATATTTTTCTCTTTCGGCTAATAAAAGCTCAAGCATCTTTAATACAACGGACTGTGTTTACATCACGTCGTCTCCTAAATATTTAGTCTTAGGAATTAAAGGTTATATGTATAAATCTACAATTGTTTGGATAATTTGTAATAAACAGAAAAAATTATTATTGTTATAGTTAGTAACCTTGGTGAATATAGGATTTAAAAAAATCGAAAATAAAAAGACTGGACATTTTTAACTAAAAATAAAAGAAAATTGATTGAGAAAATTTTTAGTTAGAGCTTTATTGTGGTGAGTAAAAACAGGAAAAATAGGAATTATAGTTAGAGAGTAGTATGTTTGAGGGAATGAAAAATTTTGTTTGCTAACTATACTTGGTGAATGAATAACAATCAATTTTTAAGCAAGAAAAAAATGTTTAAAATGGTAAAAATTATTTGAAATTTAAAATATTAAAAAATAAAAAAGTAATGTAAAATAAAGATTTTTTGGAAATTTAAGATTTGTTAATGAAAAAAAAACTAATTTAAATGGGAAGAAGTGTAAAAGTACACGATTCTAATTTTAGGGATGCTTGTATTGGAACTACTTTAGGACTTGCATCCCATGAACTTTATCGTTCCATCAAAGAAGAAAATGTGCGAAAATATGAGTCCCAAATCGTCTATAGGCTGCCCAAATGCTCTCAATATGCTCGTAAAACTCAAATCCCAAATATCTTCTAATGCAAACCACATATCCACAAACCACAACCTCACATATCGCTCGATATTCTGTTAATCCTATAACCCCATTTTTAATTGCTCCTCATCTCTCTATATGCATTCATTGGGACTCAACTTTTCAGCATCGCAGGCGAAAATTTTGAGAATTTTAGATGGCCAAGGATCTGAATTCCTTCCAGGGTAATTTATGAGAATAATAAAAATCCTGACCCGTGCCGAACTCTACTGTTTGATTAAGGGACGCCATTCAATAAAACAAGGTACCTTTTTTAATTTAATCATAATACTTAAATTTTTTGTTTCATTCATAGTTCGGTTTTCTCAATTTATTTATCAAGTTATTTATTATAATTCTTATCTATTTTTCTAAATTATTTTTTTTGTCTCGTTATTTTCTAAATTATTTTTTTGCTTTATTTATTTAAAAAATTTTGATTCCTTTATTAATATAAATCATTTAAAATTTTTATCTAAGGACTTTAACTATTTTATTTTTAACATAAAAATTGAATATAAGCCTCCTTAATATTTAAAAAATGTATTTTGTGATTGAACCAAAAAATTTCTCCACTTAATTTAAACGTTAGAAATAATATTAACAAACTACAATTAAAAATTGATTTCGTTCAGTTCTTCTTATAAGTTTTTCGTAAATAAAACTTTAAGAATCACAGTCTTATTTTTTGATTAAAAAATTCTTTTCTAATTTTATGTTAAAATATTTTGGCTTTATAATTAGTAGAGATCAGGGATGAGACGTAATAAGAAAAAAAAGTTGGGTTGAGGTTTGGGTCGTAAAAAGTACCTGTCAGGGCTGGCCATAATAAAAAATTAGTAATTATCCGCTATATACCCACAAATTGTCTTAACTTTCCAACCAACAAACTGTGTTGATCGGCTATAACTTTTGATGCCATTTCGCTTTTTTTAATTCATAAGGAAAGGCCCTTCTCCAAGATTTGATAAAAGGCCCTTCTTCAAAATTTATAACGAAGAAAGGCTCTTTCCAAATAACTGATAGCTACGTAGTTATTAATTTAATAATTAATTTAAATATAAATATTTACTACTTAAAGTTTAGATAAAACTAAGATGACAAATAATATCGAAATAAATAATGCACTTCATTCAAATTTAATTACTTCAACTAATTGTTGTGAAAAGAAAAATAATTTTAATTTTGATAAATTTATTAATCCAAAATTAAAATTAAAATATATATTAGAATACAATTGGATTACTTTTGAATATATTATTAATGAATTAGCTAATGGAAGTATTGAATTTAGAAAAATTTTAGAAAATGGGGGATTCGTTGAAAAGGTAAAAATTAAAAAAATTTTGGTTAAATTTTTAATAAAATTTAGAATTGAAAATTCAATTTTTGAGAGTATAGAAAGATATTACAATCCAGGGATCCACATGATTCTGCCGTCCCGATTTCCTCAATCAGTAATTTATATTTCAAGTTCCCTAGTACAACCCAACCTACCGCCAACTTACCTATAAATAATTATTAAAATGTTAGAGGATCACGTTAAAGATCATTAGGAAACTTCTTTACTTAAAAGATCATTAGGAAACGTTTTCATGACATCGATCATAATGAAACGTATAGTAATTGGAAAAATAAGGAAAGCATGCAGAAAACAGAAAAAATTCTTGATGTTAAAAATTAAATTGGTGTCTTAAATTAAAATCTAAATTATTTAAACTTTGAAAGCTCCAAAGAATTCATGGTTTAATAAAGAAAATGTATTATTTCCCCTTTTCCATGGGGGATACGGCACCCGGCTATACATTTAAAATCTGTGGTCCGTTATTGTGTTTGTGTACCATAACTGTGAGTGAGTAGAGCTCCAACTCCCAAAAAATATTTTGTGGGAATAAAGTGAACCTATTGAAATAAAGCTCATATGTGGGAGGAAGGAATGGCAATAATGCTTCAAAAATTAATAGGGATTTGCTAGAAAGATAATACATATTATTTATAGTGAGTTAGAAAATTAACAAAAATTTTAAAGATCGAAGCAAAAGACATAAATGATGGCAAAGGCTTTACTTCAAGATTGCTTCGTTTAATAATTAATATAAAATATACAAATGGGATATACAACAAAACAAAAAATTTTTCAAACAAATTTTCTTTAATTTTAAAAATTTTTGCTGATGAGAGGATTGAAATACTTTTACAACATTTTTTTGGAAAAGAAAGATTGGAAAAAGTTATGTTAAAATTTACAGAAAAATTGACAATAGAAAATAATAATAATGAAGAAATAAACGATAAAGTTGTATCGACAAAAATTAATCCCGTGTTAAAGGTAAAAATTTAATTTTTAATGACAAGAGATAACACGGGTTACCCGAAGGCCAATCCGAGCAAATTTTATAGACCCGACCCAAAATCCTTCTGGACTTTTTCTCAAACCAAGACATCCCTGTGGAGGGGAGGCAATTTACTTAAAATTTTTCGAATCAGTTAATTGTTTATTGTTTCCTATTAATTATCCCAGTAATTAAAGCCCACGCCGAAGCGTTCTAGTGCTCCCAGCCAGTGCTGGGTATGACTTCTAGAGTTAGATAAAAAGCAGGCTCATGCGGAGCTAAATCCTCCAAAGAAATAGAAAAGAAGCCG